GGACACCTCCTTGGTGGTCCCCACGTCCCCTGGACACCATTCCCATGGTCCCCACATCCCCTGGACACCATTCCCATGGTCGCCACGTCCCGCAGCCATGGAGTGGATGCCGATGGGAGCGCGGGCGATCGTGAGCACCCTCATGGGCTACTGCTACACCGTGGGCCAGTTCCTGCTGGCCGGGATCGCCTTCGCCCTCCCCGACTGGCGCCGCCTCCAGCTCGCCGTGTCCCTGCCCTTCTTCGGCTTCTTCCTCTACTCCTGGTGAGCGGGAGGGAGGGAGGGAGGGAGGGAGTTATGGATTCATGGAGGGATGAAGAGAGGTATGGATGGATGGATGGATTAATGGATGGATGGATGGACGGATGGACGGATGGAGCTTTGGATTGATGGAAAGATGGTGGGATGGATGGATGGATGGATGAATGGATGGATATTGGGATGGATGGATGGATGGATGTTGGGATGAATGGATGGGTGGATGGGTGGATGGATGGGTGGATGGATGATAGATGGTGGGATGGATGGATGGATGGATGGATATTGGGATGGATGGATGGATACTGGGATGGATGGATGGATGGATGGATGGATTGATGGACGAATGGATGGATGGATGGATGGACAGACAACCGGAGTTATGGACTGAAGGACGGTGGGGTTCATGGAATGGTCAAGGGCGCAGGGATGAGTGGGAGGAAGGAAAGGTGGCCCAGAGCTGGATGGAGAGAAGGTTCCGGAGGGACGGGGGGATTATGGGAGGTCAGAGCGATGACCGGAGGGACACGGGGGGGGGACACAGCCAGAGGGCCGGGGGGTGGGACCATCCCGGGTGTCCCCCCTCCCAGGTGGCTGACGGAGTCGGCGCGGTGGCTGCTCATGGCCGGGAGGCCCCAGCAGGCCCTGAAGGAGCTCCGGAAGGTCGCCAGGATCAACGGGAAGAGAGAGGAAGGGGACAAGCTCGACATCGAAGTAAAAGGCTCCGGGAGGGACCCCCGGGGGGTCTCTGGGGTGTTTTATGGGGCTGGGGGGGGGACGTGACCCCTCTGTCCTGGTCCTCGTGTTGTAGGGGTCCCCTACACTCACCCATCCATCCATCCATCTCCATCATCTCCATCATTCCCATCTCCATCTTCCCCTCCATCTCCATCCATCCCACCCATCTCTCCCACCCCCTCACCGACCCCCCATCTCCCCCCCACCACCTGCCCACGTCCCTCCCCCCCTCCTCCCACCCCCTTTTCCCCCCATTCCACCCCAAACCTTCGCCCTCCTCCCACCTCCCCCCTCCCTCTCCCCCTCCCCACCCCTCCCAGGGAGCAGAGGGACCCCCAGAGCCCCCTCCCCTGCCCCGGAGCCCCCTCCCCACCCCGGGGCCGCCCCGTCCCTCCCCGCAGGACCTGAGGTCCCACCTGCAGAAGGAGACGACGGCGTCGCGGAGCCGCCACTCGGTGCTGGCCCTGGTGCGGACACCGACCCTGCGCCGCATCTCGGGCTACCTCTGCTTCGTCTGGTACGGCCACGGGGGCAGGAACCCCGGGGGGGCTCATCCACCCTCCCCCCCAGCCCCTGACCCCCCAAACACCCCCCTCAGCTGGGAAGGGGAACTGAGTCCCGGCACGGGACCCACTCACCGGGGGCCTTGTGACCCTCTGGGAAGGGACAGGGGTGTCCTGGTTGGATCCCACAGAGCAGGGGATGGTGTGTGACCCCCCCTAAACCACCCCACAACCCCCCCATCCCACCCCACACCCCCCTGTCCCCCCCCCAGCTCCCCACGGGTGACACTTTCACCCCCTCCCACCTTCCCCGGCCCAGGTTCTCCACCAGCTTCGCCTACTACGGGCTGGCCATGGACCTGCAGAACTTTGACTTCGACATCTACGTGATCCAGCTGATCTTCGGCGCCGTGGACATCCCGGCCAAGTTGGTGTCCGTCCTCACCATCACCTACGTGGGGCGGCGCTTCACGCAGGCGGTCGCGCTCTTCCTGGCCGGTGCGGCCATCCTGGCCAACATCCTGGTGCCGCGAGGTGAGACCGGGGGTGCCGGGGTGGTGCCCCCTCAGCTCCGGCCTCTTGGGACCCCCATGAGGTCAACATACCAACACGAGTCTCACACTTTGAGTGGTTTGGGCTTTTTGTGGGCGATTTTCCCCAAAATCCCGGAGTTCGGGGTTTTCTTTGGCCGCCCAACCCAACCCAATGCAACTCAACCCAATCCAACCCAACTCAACCCAACCCAACCCAACCCAACTCAACTCAACTCTACCGAATTCAACCCAACCCAATCCAACCTAACTCAACTCAACCCAACCCAACCCAACTCAACCCAACCCAACCCAACCCAACCCAACCCCACCCAATCCAACGCAACCCACCCAACCGCATCCAACTCAACCCAACCCAATCCAACCCAACCCATTCCAACCCAACCCACCCAACCCAACCCAACCCCACCCACCCCACCCCACCCCACGTGGTGACCCCCAGGTGA